TTTCTTTCTTTCTTTCTTTCTTTCTTTCTTTCTTTCTTTCTTTCTTTCTTTCTTTCTTTCTTTCTTTCTTTCTTTCTTTCCCTTAAGTTCATGTGCCAAGCCACTCTTTTCTGCTAGGCTTTTGCTGAAATCAGCATTCCCCAGCATCCTACTTTGCCCACAATTTTGCCTGAAAGAAGCTCAACAGCATTTCAGGGACACTAATCATAGAAATAGAGGTGGAGATGCTATATATGCTGGATTATTTCAATGCCCAGCAAAATTGTTTAACTAAATGATAGGCATCTTAAAATGACCACTGTTAACGTGCCTTTCAACTTGCTTTTCCCTTTGCAGTAATGACTTTATGTGGTTCCAACCACTCTCTCTTGCCTTATTTCTGTAGCCAGTGACATCCATTTTCAAGGTCACTCATTATATTAGTATCACTGATGACCAGAGTGAAATGGTACTTGCTACTGATCATTGGTCTTGATTCATAGCACCATTTGCTTGCTCACCAACTGAGCTAACCAGTCACCACTGTTCTAAATAACATGGTAAAAATAAACAATGAATAAATAAGCAATACTTCATTTTTTCATAAAAGCACTGCATTAAAGACATCCATTAACAGAATTTCCCATATCTCTATGAAATACACAACAGGATATTTCATTCATTCACAACAGGTTTAGAAAACAGTAAATAAGTGAACTGACCAAATGATCTGGCAAGTGAACAGCAAAATTAGTTTAAAGAATCCAGGAATTCTTAACTCCTAACCCCTTGTTCTAAGCCTGTATTCTTGCTTCTATGTGAGATTAGAGACTATCACACTAAGAAATGTTTTTTTCTTCCAGGACTGTCATAATATGGCCTTGTCATATTAGTTTGTCTTTAAGGACATGTACTTGTTTTAGAGAAAGGATAAAAAGTAGCAAGGGTACTGAAAGGGGATATATCTGAAATTTTTAAAAAAGAATTTTTAAAAATTAGCCTCACCACCCTGAGACCAGGACTACACTAGTCTTTGGTTCTGGTGTGCAATATGTACAGCCAAGCTGTAACCTGAACTCCCATCTTAAGCACAGTGGAATCCACATGGTAAATCCCTATGGAATTTAATCATGGCCCCTCATGCCTAGGAGATTAATGCACAAAAGCCCTGAGAACTGGCATAGTTTTCCTGGTAGGACAGAACCCGTACAACAGGACTCCGTAAATCTACCCACACTTCATTCATCTTGCACCCAAAACCCTAGCTGTATGATTTTTGTGCAGAAAAGAGTTAATGTAGCAGGCTTGAACTGCTATCCTTGGAAAGGACTGCTTGCAAGGCTGGCCCATGGCTGGCTTCAGAGAACTTAGGTTTCCGAAGGGTGGGAAGGACTTCCAGCATTAACTGATTCAACTGGCAACTGCACCTAAACTGTCTGGTCAAACAATACAGTTTATGCTGAATGCCTGCTTTCCTGCTGAGAGTCTTGAATTTTGCTATGTGCCAGGCAGAGGCTGCCAGTATGACCTGTCCCCAACACAAACTTTGGATACCAAGTCCTTAATGACTTTTCCCCTAATGACTTTTATGCATTGTCAGAAACCACTGCTAGAGAAATTAAGCACATCTTGTGGGATCCAAACGAGAGAGGACTCTAGAAGGTTGTACTTGGTTTCATTGGGACTTTGCCCCCAGTGCCTTTTCCCTTTGCTGATTTGTCTTTGTGTTTTTCACTATCATAAATCAAAACTGTAAGACTATATGCTGTTCTGTAAATGTTCCTAGTGAACCACGGAACTGGGGGTGGTCTCAGGGACCTGTGATACAGTAGATATTAAACATTGTCATTTTTTTTTTTTTTTGGTACCAGGGATTGAACTCAGGACCTTGTGCCTGCAAGGCAGGCATGGTGCCACTGAGCTAAATCCCTGGCCCTAACATTCTCCTTTTTAAAGCAGATCCACCTTTCTGATGCAATGCTCAGAATGTCAAAGGCATGTTCTTCCTCAAAGTCCCGCACTTAACAGATCACGTGGTAAAGTTGCTCAGATTGCTACATGGAAAGCAGGAATAAGTATATATTGAAGGAGCTATGTCTCAAAGGAACAAGAAACAGCACTTATTTTTTTCAGGTTCCTTTCAAAGCTGTCTGCATATCAAGCCTTCCTAGGACAAGAGGACCTAGGGTCACCACACACAAAAAGGAATGCCATCAGTTCTCACTTCACAGCCCTGACCTTTCTCAACTACCCTGACAATTCTTTTTTTCAATACCTGCCACTGTGGAAGCTAGTGTTTTAACACTGTATACTTGGCTTAAAGACTAACTAAAGTGATCAATAATTTTAGCCCTTTTTGGAAACCTACGTTTGTTATAAACATGATTCAGTAACAGTCATATTTCCAACCCAGTTCCCATGGCTGACTTCACCGGTCCTGCTATCTGAAGCAAGCCTTGGCTAGTGTATCTTGAGATGTACATTATGCTTTAGCTGCCGTTCCTCACTCCGCCTGCTTCTCCAGGAATGGTACTTCTTGACGCTTTTCTTCCAAGCAAAGCCCCAGATGCTAAACATAAAACACCAAGATACAGCATACATCGCTACTCCCCCAACCTTCACAAACCACTTGGGTGTGGGTGAGACCATTTCACAGAAAAGGAGGCAAGCTCCTATACCAATCCTCACTCCAGTGAACAGAGCCACGAAGAGGAAGTCCACCACATCTCCAGCGAAACTGTGATAGTGCCCGGTTTCACGGAGAAACCAACGCATCTGCAGCAAGGGGTTGGTGATCTCACTTCCAAAGAGGACTGCATTGACCTCCGTGCCTGACTCTCCAAGCACCAGGGCCATGATGATGCCCAAGATGCTCAGTGTGTGGTGAGCCAGCATCAAGGGACCCTCAGAATGGAAGTAGATGCACCAACCCAAGTCAAAGATGAAATAGCCCAGGGTGAGACACAGAACATGAACTTGGAGAGTTGTATTGGGTGAGCCTGAAACAAACCAAAACAGAACCAAATTGAGTGACTAGGAATTGTGGCATTTTGCATGAGGATCCTATGTTGTTCTCTTTCCAACCTTGTTGAATCACTGAAGGAGACAAAAACAATGGCAAGCACAAGTTTTTTAACAGTAACCAAAAAACACTAAAATCTAATACCCCAGTCTTTGTCACACTAAATGATGTTCTAGCCCCAGAAAATGCTATTTTGATTAATCAGACCTCAATAAGGGACTTCAGTACATGCAATAATTTCAGTGTATTCTCTATGGAATAGTATAAAATAGAGTTATTTTATTCTTTTAATTAAAATCCTAAGCCTTTTTTAAAAACCAGCTTAAGGTCTGTTTCTAGACTCTCAAGTCATTCTGTCATCTGTCCTAAATGTCAGGCTAATTTTGTAGTTTAATGGACTAGTTATTGGACACTGGAAGCTCTAACCCCTCCTGAAAGTAGACTCCAGAGAGTACCCCAAAAGATAGGGTGTTCCCATGTCCAAGAACACGGGCTACAAGGACCTGACATGTTTGAAACTTAATAACCTTCATATAAAACACAAAGCTTAAAAATTGTTTTTACCTCAGTTTGCAGGGAAAACTCAGAAATTCAACATGAGAATCTTAGAAAAAAAATTTTAAAATCTAAGAATCTTTATTAAAAAATCATATTCCAGGGGAGTTATGGGCTGAATTGTGTCCTTCCAAAATTCATGTTGAAGCCAGAACCTCAGAATGTGAGTTTTGGAGACAGGAATTTAAGAAGGCAATTAAGTTAAAATAGGGTCACTAGGGTGGGCCTTATTCCAATGTGACTGGCATCCTTGTATTCCAGACTCTAGAACTATGAGATATGTCTGTTTTTAAGCCACTTAGTCTGTGGCATTTTGTTATGGAAGCTCCAGGCAACAATGCAATGGTAAACAATTTTTGTATACCAAGGAAATAACATTTGTACATCTAGTGATATGAAAATTAATAGATGCCCCAAATAATGATGTCAAATTATTATGTAACAATTAGAAAGGATGAGAGAGAGCTATATCCATAGACATGGTAAGATGCTGTCCTTCCAATATAAGATTGAGTAAAAATGGCAGTTTACCAAAATAGTTAAAATGTACAATAGAGTTTTATTTGTATCTATCTATCTGTGGTGGTGGAAGATGTCAATATTGGCTTTATGTTTTGTATATTACTAATTGATTAAATTGTAAGAAGAAATCTAAAATTGTTTTTGAAATAGTTATGAAAAGCAGAAGCAATAGATCACATATACAATATCAGAGTTAATTATAAAGAATGAAGACTGCAATACAAATTAGCATGGGAATTATTCTTCAATATTATACAAATTCTTTTTTAAAAAATGTCCCATTCTTTGAAGTCTACCCACAAATCATAAGTCCCTAAAAGAAAATCTCTAATGTCCCCTACCTACCTGGATGAGTAAAAGGCCATGGGCCATCAATGAAGCCAATATAAGCTGAGAGGCCTATTGAGAGGACTCCATGGGTGAATGTCACCAGCCGGCAGCTCCACTCATAGCTTCGGTGCTTATTCAGGTAGCAGAAAGATGTATAGAGTGAAAGCCAGCCACACAGGCTGCACAGCACCTGCAGACACAGAGCTAATGCCATCCTAGGATGAAAAGACCAAAACCAGAAAAACAAAGGATGCACCCTAAGGAAAGAACATTGGGTAATTTTGTGCATATGTCTGTATTGCTACTGTAGAATTGTACTAAAACACTGCCTTCACTGAAACATTTCTTCCTCTATATTGGCTAGTTCTGTGTATATGTCTGCGTTACTACTACAGAATAGTATAAAAACCCTGCCTTTACTGAAACACCAAAGAATCTTCTATTTAAGTATGGCCATACTTATAATTCCAGGTTCCTCAGAGATAACGTGCTGGCAGAAGCTGTACAACTGGAAACCAGGAAATGCATTCTGACTTGGTAGCTAATATCACATGTTACAATGAGCAACTTCAATGATAACCCTCCAGCCATGAATGCCTTTGGGCAGTAATATAGAGAAATAAAGTACATGTATGTGATAATATCTTAACATTTCAAAAACTTCCATGTGAAGCTCTCATGAAAAAACAGAACATGGCCCCTTTGGGGCTCTGCTAGAAGTCATATAACAGAGAAGTTTCTTGTATTTTTAAGCTGAAACTAAATTTGGCTGAGGTTTGGATTTGGGTCATAGTTTAATCAGTTGAAATCAAAACTTGGGGTAAACCTAAATATAGAACTAAATAGAGTCGAAATATCTTGGAAGATGGGAAAAAAAAATCCTACTTCTGTTCTGAAATCCAACTCAAATATTTACCAGCAAGAAAGCAGACGGATTTTAAGGTAGGAGAAGCCTTTTCATTGAGATATGAATATCTTTAAAGCAATTATTCAGTTAAAAATAAAACAAAGTCAGAAAGCTACATTTGGGCTTTTTACTGGTGGAAAAATATTTGGACAAGAACAAATAAAACTTAATCAATTTAGCCTCACAGAACTAAAATCCAAAAATGACCAAGATGTCACTTTTAATATTCACTAGCTCCTCTGTTGAAAGTACAAATGAAAAATAGTCCAAACTATTGCAGATATCTGTCTCATCTCAGAAGGAATTTTCTGCATGACTACACTTACTACTTAACCCTATTCTGACAAATGAAATGCTATCTGTGGACTAACCCATGTCAATACACAAGCCATTCCCAAGAATGCTATCCTGAGAGAGCTTTATGAAGGTCAAGTTCTGTACAGCTTTCATCTGAAATGAAGAAAATAGTAGCTGTCTGGACAGGGTTGACTGGAGTCCCAATCTCTCTCCCCCTGGCTTGCAGCATAAGTGTGGAAAAATCAATCCCACCTATAGAGCTTGTTTTCCAGAAACAACAAAAAAGGAACAGAAAAAAGGAGAAAGGAGACAAGGCCTGGAGAACTCTATAGTCCATTCCAGATCTTACACGGAATTCTAAGATAAATGTTGTAAAACGTCTAGGCCAATTTTCAGTGCAAGGGCCGGAAATACAAAGCACCCACAGTGAAAAGTGTCCTCCTTATTTCCTTTTGAAACCTAGGTTCACTAGCCAGTAATGCGGATCAGCCTGTTTGGATATGCCGATTAGTATTTTTAGAGTCCTCTTCTCTGAATCCTAATTCTCTGGCACAACAGAGGAAACAGTAGCCCATTTACAAACACTCGAATAAAAGCACAAGATATCTGCAACAGGCAGATGCAACTCTGTGACCTTGGGAGCTGCCTGCATTGTAGGAGGGCCAAAGGGTACTGAGAAACCCAAAGCTCCCCTCCCAGCGGTCGCGCTCGGGCCAGGGAGGCGAGGAGGAGCGGAGCGCGGGGCGGACCCACCGGGCTCCCGGGCTCCCTGGAGCAGGCGTGGCCGGCAGGGAGCTGCAGCCTCGGACCCCCACAGGAGCGCAGTGGCGTCCCGCGCCGACCTGCCGCGGCCCGCCTGGGCGCGGAGCCCCGAGCCTAGGACCGTTATCCCAAGGCCCGGCGACCAAGGGCAGAAGAGCCCTCTCCTCCAGAGACCAGGCTGGGCCACCTGCCCGCCTCCTTCCCCACCAGGGCCGGACGCGTCACTCCCGCTCCCGAGCGCAGCCCAGTGCCCACCCAGCCCCACGCTGTTACCTGGCGTGGCGCCCCGGGCAGCCTCGGGCGCCTCGGCGCCCACAGCCCAGGGCCCGGATCACTGCAACAGGAAGGAGTGGGAGCGGACGAGGCTGTGACGGCAGAGGAGGAGGAGCCGGGGGTCTGGGGGCATCTGCTGGCTGGGAGGATGCGGAACACAGAGCCGCAGCTGGGCGAAGGCCATTCAGGCAGAAAGCAGCTGGATGGAGGGTCCTCCTGCTTTGGAGAGGAGAGGGGAGGGCGATCTAATGGTGCTGTGAGACCTGCAGGCTGTTGCCCTTGTTTGTTTGGTGCTGTTTAATCATTTTCTATTCCTCCCCTCCCCACGTTGGGCAGCCCATCCTCAAAGCACTTAATGAGCACCTACTAAAGTCCTTGCATCCCTGTTAAGCACTGTAAGAGATGAAGATATAGTCTTTGCCCTCCTCCTTGACTCTGGGTTGTGAAATAAGCACACAAATGACTGATTACCAAGCCTGTGAATTAGAAGTTATTTTAATTTTAAAGCTGTCACCAACTGGGCGGTTCAGGATAACTTAAGAGTTGCTAGGTGTTTTGGCACCAGCACTTGGAAGGCTGAGGCAGGAGGATCATATGGAGTTTGAGGCCAGCCTGATCTACATAGTGAGGCCTTGTCTCAAATAACAACAAAATAAATCCTGCTTGGTATGCCCTTAGGCAAGTTACTTAACTATTCTGGGCTTCCTTTTTCCAATTCACAGAATGGAGAGAGTGGTAATATCTCATAAGATTATTGCAAGAATTTTAAAAGATTACACCTATCAAGTCCTTGTAACTGTGCCTGGGACATAAGAGTCACTCGACTATATAAATGTCCAGACTTGTTTTTATTTCACGTTGGGTAAATCTTTTCTTCTCTCTGGGACTATTTTAATACCAAAGAGAGTAAATTTGAAATGAAGGGAGCAATATGAACCCTCAGTAGGGTAAGGAGGTTGTCTGGATTGATCCAGACAGGCAATAATGGGATGCTGAGGGGCCCAGACATTCTTCAAAAGAAAAGACCTTTAGTAGAGATGTGTTTACACCACATTTAGGGAATAGTAAGTATTCTCATTTTGATCATTTATCTTGCCAAGCCCTCAAAGGTAAGGAAGGCACTGTTTCCATCCATTTCTCTAGTGTCTAGTACCAGTCAGGTGCAATGAATATTTGTTGGCTGAATTAATGGAATGCTCTATAGGAAGCATATTGCTGTTCCTAAAGCTTGTTGACCATCAGTGCTACTTGGAAAGTATTTTCAAAATACTCTTGTGAAGATTGCACTTTGAATGTTGTGATTTAGTAGATCCAGTGTGGGTCCTTGGGATCTGTATCCTCGAAACCTGCTCATTCAGATGAATAGTCATATTGGAGAATCACTATTCTGAAGGGTCCTTACCTGCCTCTGAGGCCAGCTGAAGATGCCAAGCTGAGGCACCTTCTTATCCGGGTAGGCAAAGCCTGGGATGTTACTCAGTAAGGGAATCATGCTACCATGCTCCCCAAGCTTTGGCTACTCATCATGTTGTCCATGGACCCAAATAATCTGTACCACCAGGCAATTAGTTGGAAACACAGAATCTCAGATCCTAACTTCGGTCTGCATTTTTAACACAGTCCCCAGTGACTCATATGCTCATTTGGGCAGTGGTTCTCAACCTTGAGCACACAGAGGAATCATTTGAGGGGCTTTAAAAAAAATCCCAGTGCCAAGGCCACACCCCAAAGTAAATCAGAATCTCTGTATGGTTGTCAATCAAATTTAAAGCTCCTTAGGTGATTCCAGTGTGCAATCAAAGTTGAGAATCCCTGCTCCGGGGACATTCAACTAAAATTAGTACAAGATGAATTGGAGAAGACCTGTTTCAAATGTGTTGGAACAGGCCAGGTCAGAGGTAATGATAGCCTGAAGAAATATAACATGGAAAGACCCATTTTATGAAATGGAGAGTGTACAAACCTTAACATTTTTCCCGTTTTATTTTTTGTTGCAATATTATTTTTCTTTCTAGTGTCTGAACCTGTGACTTTCTCCTTCTTGCCACCATTTCCCAGCGAAGAACAGAGTATTAAAGGATTCAGGAGTCTAAGGCTGAGGTCATTAGTGAAGATGCCTATTGTTCCTGGCCTACGGGCCTATGCACCAGGATGATTGGGATTCCGGGTTCAAGCTTCCTTGCCTGGGACTACATTTTATTAATTTATATATCTTTAGCCACCACCAGGGAATAGGAAGCCGTCTACCAACTTAATAACAGTAGCAATAGTAACCACAATTATCACTGATAACACTTACATGGTATTGCCTTAGTAACTCACTAGATACTGTCTTAATCCTCACAATAACTCTATGGAATGAGATCTGATTTTATATTCATTTTACAGGTAAGAAACTGAAGCAGTCAAGTACTTTCCCAAAGTGACATGTTTAGCAGGAGGCAGAGTGGGGGATGAGCCCAGGCAATGAGTGACTCAGGCGGGTTATGCACCTAAGATATGCTGCCTCTAATCAACTAGAATTTCCGACCAATGTGTACTACATTCTGTGTTCACAATTTCTACCTCAGAGAAGGGCTGAGAGGTTGTTTAGAGAAAAAAAGGACTTCCATTTAAAAAATCTTACTCACTTTATTTGTGCTAGTCACATTGTTAGGCATGGGAACACACACAACAAAAGACAGCTTCGACTACAAGAAAGAAGCTCCCCCACAGCCTTGGGGAGCAGGAGGGTCCTGGGGACTCCCAAGAGAACATAGAATGTATCTGGAGGGGCTCAGTGTACCCCAACCCTTTGGGATTCAGGGCAGTTTTCCTGATTTGAGTCCTGGGATTAATAACTCCAGTCCTTGAGTTGGACCAAAAGTCCTAACTTTGCTTTAGACGCCCACAGCTGGGCCCACCTTTAGTGAACTAAAGACTGAACATGGTATGAAATAAAAATTGAAAAGCAGCAGCAACAATTTTTTTCTTTTATCTTTTCCCCTCACCAGTGATTGGTTTTTGCCCTTGGATTCCTATTCTCTGATTAGATGCTGAATGAGCTAAGTAGACTTCCACTAAACTTCCCTGGAATTACGAATTTTATGGGGAGTGGTTCTCAACCTTGAGCACACAGGAAACTCATTTGAAGAGATTTTAAAATGCCAAGGCCACACCTCAAAGTAGATCAGAATCATGCAGGCATAAAAGATGAATCTATGCTCATTTTCAAGTTTGACCCTCTCAGAGAATGTCCCAGTCAACAGCCATTGGAAAGTACTGAAGACTGAACAGTTAGGCTGCAATTCTGTTTTGTTTTGGTTTGGTTTTTTTCATTAAAAATAAATATGGGCAAATAGATTCAAACCAGAGCTTTGGACAGTGCAAGAGATCAACTTTCAGTACTCAACTGAGCAGGATGTCAAGGTAGACAGGACTGTGGCAGGAAAGGGTCAGCTTAGCTTCTGTCAGTACACAAGGTCAGCTCTAGCTTCTGTCAGTGCACACATTCATGAGTGTGTACAGAGATGGGCACAGATATCCTGGTGGCAGAGCCGTCCCTTTAGATACTAAAATCATAGCGAAGGCTCCCCCTGCAATCTCTTTGTTATATGAGTACCCCTCTCTCTCCTTTTTTTTTTTTTTAGATTTAAGAACACTTTACAGTGTGTTGTTTATTGAGTGGTTACACCAGAAGGTGTGATGGTCGATGGAACTAGTGAGTAAACCTGCCTGGCTCTCCTTAGGTACCAAGGGTAGGTATGCCCACTTGGCTCAGAAAGGCCAGCGAGGAACATGAACAATGGCCACACCATGTCCAGAGGGCCCTAGGATGGCAGAGAAATAGAGCTAGAGACAGAAACATATTTGACAACACTTTTTCTCTTGGAGGTTAGTTTTTTGGTCTATAAACTGGAAAGGAAGGCTCAGACTTAAATAAATACATTTATTTTGAGTAATGGCCTTTATTGAGCAATGTCCACCAATTCTGCTTCCAGTAGGTTTTCCCCTTGCAGCACCAAGCATCCCTCCCTGGGCTAAAGGCAGACCAATGACAGGATTCCAGCCAAGGTCGCTTCTTTCCTCTGTTATGAAGGGAAGTAGTAAGTGCATCTCTGTTCTTAATGGAGAGGACAATGCCTTTTCTTTGACAGAAAAACAACTGGCTTAGCTATGTGAGACAAGACTTGGTCCTCCAGTTAGCTTCTTTAGTTGATTTGGTCCTGGAATATATATAAATTATTGGTGGCAGCTATGGCAATAATGTTTTCCATGTGGTGCCAGGCTGTGTGAAGGATCTTCTTATTGAAGTCCAGACTGTCCACACTAATCTCATCTTTCTTTTACCACCTGTACATACTTTTCGGGGTTTTAAGCTGGCTCGGGGTTTGCTGTTCTCTCTTGAAGCTTCCAGTGTAACATCCCTCCGAGTGTTTCTATCAAACATTCTAAAGAAGTTGTTGTAGGACCCCGTCATGATAGCACTGTCTGAACCATTCCAGCAGCATTCAAACTTGTCAAAGATGCAGTCATTCTCACACAGGGAACAGAGCTTGCTTTGCAGGTACTCATGCACCTGATGGGTCTCCACAGGCCTGCTCTTCATGTTAAGGTCCCATACTTTCACTGACAGTCTCTCGTCATCATGTATCAACCACTGTGGCTGAATTTGACATCAGAGATGGATGAAATTATTTCTGAGAAAAAGGACCTACTGCTGGGATCTTCAGGCTCTTCAAAAAACTTAGAATGTCTGTCGCGCAGGGCAGAGGAACGCATGTCACATAGCTGGATGGTCCCTTTGGTGCTGCTGTAGACAAACACATTGCATTGGTGTGGATGGAATTCAGCAGTGGTGATGACTTCCATCAGCTCTTCCATGTTAGCAGGCTTGATATCCACGATATTAAAGCTTCTATCTGTGATTTCTAAATGCCATAGGTTTACTCTCAAGTCATCTGCAGAAAGATATGTTTCATGATCCCTATTTACTGAAATTTAATTTATATGACATGTGTGAGCATTTGCAAATATTTGCTGTGGACTTGCTTCTACCGTGAGGTCCATGGGCTTCAATTTAGGAACCCGTAGTGCTGTAATTCTAAATGAATCTCGAAGTCGTCCATCTTCATCTTTCAAGTTATAACCTTCCACTCTTTTATCCCGTTCACTTATTTTCCATAATTTAATAGTTTTATCATTTGTAGAGAGTAGAAAATGAGCAGCATTCTGTTGTGGCAACCATCTAATTTTATCTTCAATTTCTAGACCTTTCAAATAGTCCAACTCTGATTCATAACTTTGAAAGGTACTGTAAACATTATATTCTCCCCTAGAATGAGTACTGCTTTTATTCTCTTGTTCCCGTTGAAAAATAACAACTCTGATGCCCTTGTCTCCTTTTGAAAGAAGATCTCCAGAGTAATTAAATTCAGCAGTTGAAATGATGTCAGCTTCCGCCACGTCCTCGACGACGGCGCCCTTCACCAGCAAGAAGCACCCCTGCAAGTCGTTACTACCCGCTGGGCAGCCCCCTCCCCCGCCCCCTCTTTTTAATGAGACAGTTCTATGTTGCCCAGACTGGTCTTGAACTCCTGGGCTCAAGCAAACCTCCTGCCTCAGCCTTCTGAACAGCTATAACTTTAGGAGCCTACCACCATGCCTGACTCACCCCTTTTAACTACATTTTTTAATTGAGAAATTAACCACTGCCTATAGACCTTCTCCCATGTCATGGCAAGAAATAGAAAGCAGTCTTAATATAAACGCCATTCAAACATCAGGAATAGTCGACTCTTGAAGATTTATATATGTTTCTTACATGAGTATTATTATTTACAACAAATGTTTAATCCCAATTTTGTTTTTCCCTATCATTTTTGTACTGGGGATTGAACTCAGGAACTTTATACTGAGCTACAACCCCAGCCCCTTTTTCATTTTTTATTTAGACACCGGGTCTTGCTAAATTGCCCAGGCAGGGCTCAAACTTGCAATCTGCCTGCTTCAGCCTGCCACATGGCTGGGACTACAGATATCCACCACCATGGCAGGCTAGATATTACATTTTTGAAGGGTCTTTCTTTCCCACAGGTCAATGCTTTCCTCAGGAATAAGTGAAACAACTTTTCTTTCCTTTCCTTTTTTTTCGGAGTGGGGGGTGGGGGTACTGGGCATTGAATCCAGGGCCTCTGACATGTTAAGCAAATGCTTTACCACTGAGCTTCACTCTCAGCCCTAGTATAACAATATAAATTTTTATTAACCTAAGAAAAACCACAAAAATAGCTTCATCCTCCTTGGCTGAAGGTAGCAATGCATTCCAAAGCCAGTCATGAAATTATCCTTTGCCTTAAATATCTATTGCTTTCCTTTGTGAATACTGAATAGTCAATGTTCAAGATATCTGAAGTATGAGATATCAGCCTCGGCCTCTGCCCGTTAAGTCACCAAATGACTTGACCTTGAATACCCACTGATCTCTGACTTACAAAAGGAAGAAACCAATCTCTTGCCTATTCTGCTCCCAAGGAAGCTCTGTCCCAAAGAATAAGAACTCTGAACCCTTCAAGGCCCTGTATTAACATATGTCATTTTCAGCATACATGGGGAGGGCGGAAATACACTTCGTTTGAATCCTTTTCCCCACCCCATTTCATTGTATGTACTCATATCCCTCCCCCCTAAGAAAAAAGCACAGAATAATTTAAACTTCTTCGTATCAACAATAGAATAGTTTATATCATCACTATACACATTTATTTAGAAACAGAGAGATTTCTTTGAGTCTCAACAGTTTCCTGTATATGCAGTCTTAAAAAAAATGTTACCATTTCTAGGTATGGCTTCATGTTATAACTCTACACACTGGCCCACAAAGAAAGAGACTCTAGAGATAATGTTCCCCCAAAAAGTCAGCAAAGAGTCCCAGCCCATATGGGAAACTCTGTGTAAATATTTCACACTTTGGTAGTTTTTCCTTTCTTTTTTTTAAAGAAGATAAAATATTACAAAGATGTCTTTGAAATTCACCCCTGAGTTAAACACTTTTTCTGGAAAATTCTATACTAAGGAGAAAGGAACACAATGTAAAATGAAGAAAGGACTATGTACAAGTATGTTACCAGCATCATTGCTGTGTGTTTGCTCATAGGTTCTTCCTTTTCAGCAGCCAGAAGAAACAGAAGATGGGCCAAGGGAAAAACAGAGAGAGAGAGAAAGAACAAGTACTCTTGTACTCTGGAATGGTTGTGAGTAAATAGAAGAACACAGAACAGGGGCAGACCGAAGTACCCAGGGTACAGAGCTGACTTGGCCACCTGTAAAGATGAGACTTGGAGGATGCAAGAATGAATGGATTTGGTTTTAGAAAAGAGGGAAGATTAAAAAGAAGAGGAGGGCAAAGGAGACTCAATGGAAAAATTTTGCTGAATGCAGAAATCATCACGGCTTTGGAGAAGACATCTGATTCAAACCTTTTCACAGAGTTTGGAATCAGTTTAGGCTGTGGCTAAGTTCAAAGTCAAAGCCATTATCTCCCATTGTAGTGGTAGGGAAATGGCTTTCCCCTAGAAGCCCATCGATGAGTTGGAGAATAATGGCAAGAAGTCCTTTCCCTGAAAGACTATTGCCAGAGTGAAGACATCTCAAATATTTAGAGCTAGAAGGTAACAGTATGAGGACTGTCTCTCAGCTCAGGAGAAGTGGTAAACTCCCAGCAGGGGGGTATTATATATATATCAAGAACATATAGAGTCAGCACATGGTTCAATCACAGTTTGGCTCTCCGGAGGCCCTTGTTCCTGAAGAAGGCAAGAATGTGGGTTCATTCATAATGGGGCTTTTCTTCCACTCTTCTGAAAGTAATGTCCATACATGGAAGGCACAACTCCCTTCTTCCTTTCTTTCACTGAGGGATATGGGGCCAGGTGGAATGGGAGGAACATTTTGGTCTCAATGGAGGTAGGTGGGATGATTCCATCGGTACCAAGATCTAGAAGGAAGAAATAAGGTCAACTGTAGTTACTAACATCACAGGGAAAGATGAGAATAAGGAGTGATGGCTAACAAGTAGAGGGGTTCTTTCTGGGATGATGAAAATTTTCTGGAATTAGATAATGGTGATGGTTGCACAATCTCTTTTTTATTTGGTACCGAAGATCAAACTCGGGTCCTTGCTCTTGCAGGGCAGGCGGCAGAACCACTGAGTTAAAATCCCCAGCCCTGCACAATCTTGTAAACATACTAAAAACTACTGAATGGTGAATTTTATGATATATGAATCATACCTAGAAAGCTACTATATTATTTGGTTCTCTCTGCCGGGGACTGGCAAGGAGTTTCAATTCTTTAGGCTGTGCCTCAATTGGGCAATTAAAGCTGGGTGCCTTGCCAAACTGCCTGGATTTGGACAAGTGGGTCTGTCTCTTCCTACAAGCCCAGGTCTGTGGCCTGTCACTCAGCTTTCAAATTTCTGTGTTTTTTTCTGAACCAGAGCTGATTCTCAACGCATCTGCTCTAACACTTTTTAGGGTAGATTCTTTGGCTCATGAGCTAAGGCCCAGGAAGCTCCTTCCCCCAGCATCCCAGGTAGGAGTAGGAATTGGTACCACTTTCCTTCCTCCCTGGGTCAACCACTCCTGAAGCCCAGGAGTTTCTTTGTGTCTAAGCTCTAGACTCATGTCAGAACATCCTAAGAAACAGATTCCTGGCATGGGGTGGAACACTTCTAAGTCCAGCAAAGGACCTGGCCTTTCCTCACAGTAGTATTTGGAAATTTCCATCATCAAAGTGAGGGTGGAAATTTTGGCTTTGTTGACATCAGCTCTTGCCAGGACTGCTTACTGGCTGCAGCTTCTACCTCCCAGGGATGCAGTCCAGTCTGGCTCTCCACTCTGTCCTCTCCCTGCCACCCTGTTCTCCTCTTCCAGCCCCATAACAAGGTCTCTTCCCCAAGGCACTGGCCCAGCTCCTCACATGTCCCTGGGCCCTGCTGGCTGCCTCTGCCCTCTCCCTCCCCATCTTACCCTGAGGAGTTAAAACTGGAGGAGGAGTTCATTGCTGCTTTAGGGTTATTTTGAGATGCAGTGGGGCTGCTGGTGTGGAGTCCTGAGCCAGGAGACGAAGGCCTGCTGTTGTTCCCAGGGGAACAGGATGACGTTACTGAGGACAAGGAGAGGGAAACACAAGGGGAAAATAATGCTGCTGGGTCCTGGGACCTTGAGACATGGCCCTTCCAACACTTGATTTTTTATGTATCCCCAAAGGGACCTCACCCTCTCGTCACCCATCTGTCCACCATGTATCACATTAGCATCAAGGTCCACACGCCAGCCTGGCCCTGGAAGAGCTGTCATCGTAAATGTGCTCTGCAGCCCGGGCCCTTGGGAGCAGTGTGGCTGGTTCTGCAAGTCCAAGACTTGCCAAATGCAAGGACAGATGCCAAAATCACTTCACTCCAAGACACACCCTGGGCTGGGCCTATGCAGCTCCAGACCAGGAGGCAGGAAAAGAAAAAGAATAAGAAGCTTAAGAAAAGAGAGCAGGAAAGAAAAAAGTGCACAGGACAGAAAAAGAACCCGGAAGTTTAAGATTGCTGGCCTCTCTAGTTCTTCCATCTTCATAGAGGAAACAGACTGCACAGTCTTAAGAGAGCACAGAACCAGGAATGAGGGGAACTGAGTGTCATCTTGGTCACATGCCACTCACTAAACAGTACTATGGCCTGTGCTGACTTATTACACTTCCCTAAAACTCATTTCTGTCCTCTATAAAATGGCAGATTTGTACTAACTGGAATTCTTGTGTTTGCATTTCTGAAACTATGTTCCATGGTTAGACTGGCATATATTTTACTGTCTAAACTAAGACACTTTTAACAAATGGAAGGAAGCATGCATATGGGTAACTATGTCAGGACATGAGGCAGCCACTGGGACTGTCCTGGGCACACCTGGACACATGGTCACCCTATCTAATTCTTTGAAATGCTATAGGCACTTTTTGAAAAAGAGTCCCGTAGAAAATTAGCTTGCCAAACTGTGCCTTCCTTCCACACTGTGCCTTCTGTACAGCTCATTTTAGAATATGTTATGCATGTGAATGCTGAGAAGTGCTGCAATTAAAACAAAACAACAAATAAACATACATATGTTTAAATTTTGCTTGCCTAGCATTTTCTAAGCTTATTTGAACATAGAACCCTGTTTTTCCCAGCATGGATTTTAATGTCCTTTGCAAGACATTTAGGGAATTCTGGTTTAAGTACGTCCCTTTCAGTTCTAATATCCTTTTATTTAATGGAATTCTGGTGCCATCAAGAACCCTCATTTAAAAACTCACCTGTTCCGGGCATGGTGCTGTGGACAGGAGGGACAGAGAGGGGGCCCAGAGACCCTGAGGGAGAGACCTGAAAGGCAAGAGAGGCTTGTAAATGTCCATTCTGATTTCCTTCTCCAACTCTGGGTCCTTTTCCAAAGATATCAGACCCCAGACTACAGAGAACAGGCTTTTCTTCATGATTTTCTATTTCTAAAACCTATGCAGCACTCCATCCTCCTTTTCATAGGAAGGCCTTGGGTCATGTACAGCCATCTACCTTCAGTTCTCCTCTGCTCCGAAAGCTCCCAGGTGCTGACACCACACCTACCTTCCCCTGCTATGCACCCTGCAAGATTTCTTTGGCACTATCAGGCTGCAGACTGCCTTACCCGAGCATCCTGGTCGTGAGAGACACCAGCCTCTGGGGGGCCTACTGTGGCAGATGTTGCCAGCTGCCCGCCTCATTTCCAGTCCCCATTTTTCCCTTTGTGAAAGAGTCCTGCCTGTGCTCAGGTCAGTGCAGTACCAACCCTAGCAACCCTTCTTCAGGCCTGCCCACCCTGGTGGACGAATGGATTGCAGACTCTCCAGAGATAACTGGAATGGCTGAATGTTGGTCTCTGGAGCTTTTAATTTTGTCCTGGAAAACTCACAGCATCATCAACTCTGAGATTAAAAAGGGAGTTAATACCAATTCCACATGATGAGTGTATTCATTATGTACCACTAACATGTACTAATAAAAGAAAAAGAGACTAAAAGTAATTGAGTTTAATCCTCCATGTATCTCAGGTGACTCCTCTCTCTATTGCTATCCTAAAACAACATCCCAGAACAATATGTAATAAAATGAATGGACAGGTCGGTCATGGAGGCACATACCTGTAATCTCAGCACTTTGGGAAAATGAGGCAGGAGGATCACAAATTTGAACCCAACCTGGGCAACGTAATAAATTATCAAGACTCACGCTCAAAATTTAAAATAAAAAGGTCTGGGGATATAGCTCAGTGCAAAGGCCCTGGTTCAATCCCCAGAACCACAAAAAAATAAAAAAGATGGACAGGTTGAAGACCTGGCCCCATCATTCACCATCTGCATGACTTCAGGCAAGTTACCCAACCCCAGTGAAATTTTATTTTCTCATCTGTAAAACAGCAGCAACACCTCCCTGATATTTTCTTTTAATTAAAATTTAATGAGCTGATGTCCATAAAGCTTCTAAGTCAATGACTGGCAAAGAGCACCAGCTTGTTAAATATTAGTCCTCTTCCTTCCTGAAGGAAAAAGCTACCATGGCTATATCTCTCCAGATGCTTTTCAATTCTTCACTGGAGCTGGAACCTGCGTGCTTCACTCCTGTCCCTTCTCATGCTGACAGGGAAGCTCTGAGCCTCCCTAAAAATTTTGTGTTTTCCAAGGATGTTGACAGGCACCTGTAATGTGATGATTCCTCCCCTTCCCGATCTGGAATGTCCCATCCTAACAGGATGCAACATGTTCTCATTTCCTAATTAATCAGCAAATGTTCTCACTGCTTTCATTTACCTTTCCTTTTACAATGCGCCTCCTCAGTAAACTGGGGCCCCATGAAGGGTGGAGACCAGTGTGGGGCAGTTTGGGAGGGGTGGCAGAGTGGTAAGAGATGTTATCCACATTCCCCCTCCCATTTTCCTCCCCTCCCTGCTGCCACACCCAAGAAATTTGTTGTTGTTTTCAAATGAATAAAAATGCATGTAGTCACTGTGACCAGCTCCTTCCACTGCCTTCTGAAGAGAGGCTATGCATATCCAAAGATACACATATACAGTTCCCTGTGTTTTATTTTTTTATATATAACTAGCAAAATGGTTCCCATACTGGTCTGGTCCATTTTGTCTTTATTTCCTCCTTTTTCTAAATTAACTGAATAAGCCAGACAGACGTAGTGCTGCATGTCTATAATCCTAGCACTTGAGGGCCGGGGATTTAGCTCAGTGTCGCTGCCTGCTGCGCAAGTGCAAGGACCCAAGTTCGATCCCTGGTACAGGAAAAAAATAAATAAATAAATAAGAATTATAATCCTAGCACTTGGGAGGCTTAGGTAGGAGAATCATAAGGCTAACCTGGGCTATATACTGAGACCCTGTCTCAAAAAACCAAGAATAATAATTCAAAAAACTGTATATTTATGAGATCATTTCATATCAGAAGGAAAATAAAGCCATGTCCTATCTCATTGAGATCTGAGGAAGAGACAGGGTGAGAAAATTTTTCCTATCCTTTTCCTTTATGACATTGCAAGTATGAGTATAACTATTTATTTAATATCTTTCTCCCTCATGAGGCTGTAGACTTCACAAGGGCAGGATAAGGCCTATACACTGATATATTCCCAGTGCCTTCCAGGGTCTGGAAATTTGCAGATGCTCAGGAAATAGGTGTTGAATGAATGCTGATAATGAATGAGGTGGTTTCATCATTTCTGTGCACATTAGTTTCCCTGGTGGGAAGTGAACCAATGCTAGAACCTGCCTCCTATCAAAGGGAAAGCCAGAAAAAGCAAGAAACTGCCACTAGGTAGATAAGAAGGGTGTTGGACAAGGATGAGCCCTATCAGTGTCATGAGACACAGATGAAAGACACTCAAAGCAGAATGGGGTCAAGGAGGGTGGTCTCACTGAGCTACATCCCCAGCCCTTTGTATTTTTAAAATTTGAGACAGAGTCTTGCTAAGTTGTCCAGACTGGTGTCAAACTTGCCATCCCACTGCCTCAGCCTCCCAAGAAGCTGGGATTACAAGCATATGTCACCACACATATCCCAAAGGTCCATCTTTAAAGACCGAAGTTCTTATGGCATGGACTGAATTCCTTACTGTGGCCTGCAAGACCCTTAAATCCAGCCTCACCCACCACTGCAGCCTCTTTACTCACACTCTTTCACTCCCTGGTCTCCACACATCCCTGCCTGTAAGCTTCCTTTTCTCTCTATCCCAAACAGCCTCAGAACCTGTGTACACAGTTTCCTCTGCCTGGAACTTGCTCCCCAACTCAGTTACTTCCCGCATTCAATGATGTCAATGGTGACATTCATTTTTCTGGGGTCAGTTTAAACATCATTCCTCGCAGAAGCCTTTGACACGGTGGATTGGGTTAGGTGCTTCAGATACTGCCACACCTTCTCTGAAGCACATCATAAGCACCATTTATTCAGTGTGTTTTCCCTGCTAGGCTGTAAGCAAGGATCACTTGTGTAAGCAAGGATCACTATACTCCCAGTATCAAGCATACAGTGAATATTTAACCAAGCAATGATGAATGACTATCATGTGGCCTCCAACTTAAAATGTTAAATGGTTCTTCATAGCTTTTAGGGTAACTTAACATCCATGGCCCATCATGATCCAGCCCTCATTCATCAACCTCTCTCAGACCCTTGGCTCAGTCAGACTGAAGTTCAGGTGTTTTCCAAAGGCATCAAATTGTTTTATAATTGCATGCCTTTTCACAGGCTAGTCCTTCTGGCTGGTGTGCTATTCTTGATAATTCCTAATCTGTTCTTCAAACAAATCAGAGGGTCACCCTCCTTGACCCCATTCTGATTTGAGTGTCTTTCATCTGTGTTCTCATCACACTCTGAATGGGCTCATCCCTGCCCAACACCCTCCTCATCCACTTAGTGACAGTTTCTTGCTTTTTCTGGCTTTTCCTTCTCAGTTTCTTCTTTTGATCCTCTTCCTTTTGCCATTTTCAAATGCTGGTGCTCCCCAGGGCTTCGGTGTGGACCTTCCATACAAACTCCACAAGTAAGCTCCTCTTTACATAGGATTTCAACCATCACCCATGTGTCTGTGACTCCCTAGTGCATATCTCCAACCCAGCTACTCTCCTGACCTCCAGACCCATCTTCCTAGTGTCCAGGGACAGCCCCACTTAGGTGTCCTACAGTTCTTACTGTACATTACCATGGTGTACAGAACTGACACCGTCACTCTTTACCACTCCCAAACCAGCTCCTCCCATTTGCCTGTTCCAAACGTGGCATTAGCATCTACCCAATCAGTCATACTCAAGCACTCAGTCTCTCATAGGATTCTCTTCCTTCATCACTTTCCCTGCCCACAGCCAACTATCAATTTATTAACCATGACCTTCTAGTTATCTATTAACTTTCTCTCATTCCCTCTTTCTTTCCATGTTGGTTTTCTTTGGCCTTGTTAGTTCTCTACTGGATAACTGTAATCATACCCTATCTTGTGCCTTTCAAGCTATCCTATATCCTGTGCTTAGAGTGATCAGTCTTAAAAACAAATCTGAGCAGGCTGGGGATTTAGCTCAGTGGTGCTATGCTTGCCTTGCAAGCGCAAAGTCCTGAGTTCGATCGCCGGTACTGCAAAGAAAAAAAATTCCGATCATGCCAATTTCCTGCTTAAAATCCTTCAGTGACTCCCCCCAAACCTCACTTTCTTGGCACTGCACACCCTCCTTTCATTGTCTCACCCCATGAGGAATATCCTTGCAACATTCCTCCATGTGGAGACATCTGCAGTTCCAAGAATGTGCCACCTGTCCTTCCTGCTTTGTACCACTGTCTCGTGGTTCTCCCTGATAAAGCGCTACCTCAGAGTCATTTGCCTCTCATTCTTTGTCCTTTTAGACTCAGCTCAGGTATTAATGACATCCTTGGGGAAGTTTTCTTAACAACCACCTCCCAAGGTTTATGTGTTGCTAAGTTCTCCTAGAGAAATGATCACATTGTTTATCATTTGTTTATTTGTCTGTCTTCTCTGCTAGGCAGTGAGTCTTCTGGGACAGAGAACAAATGGTATTTATCTTTGTATCCCAGAATTCAGCAGAAAGACCAACATACAGTAGATGGTCAATAGATGTCTGGTGAAAAAATTAAGCAATTATGGAATTGCTCTGTCCTACCCAGATAAGGCTGAATTTCAACCATTCTAGAGCACCAGAATACTTGAGGACCTCAACACATGACTCCCTAACCTTCAACCATCACTGTTCACATAGATGGAGAACCTTCCCACCCCTAGCCCAAAGGTACCATCTCTCCCTGGATGGAGAAGATACTTCTTATTCTCTAAGCTTCCACTTCTGCCTGAAACTCCAAATTATTCCCTGTCCTGGCTTTCCCTTGAACATAAGAATCACAGATTTAGCTCCCTACTTCCCCCAACCCTGTACTGGAGGCTGAATTCAGGGCCATGCACATTCCAGACAAGCACTTTACCACTGAGCTACACTCCCAGCCTTTTTCATTTTATTTTGAGACAGGGTCTCTCCCTAAGTCACCCAGGCTGGTATCGAATTTGTGATCCTCCTGCCTCAACTTTTTGAGTAGCTGGGTTCACAGGCATAGCCACCAGGCCTAACTCAACTCCTTACTTGGTACTTCCTCTTGGGAGCCTAATAAGCATGTCTGACTTAATATGACCTGCACCAAATTCCTCCTGCATCTCAAAAAGATGCCAGTGCCTCACAGTTAGCTGCCCAGTTTCCAAACTTTTGAAGGCATCTTTGCTTCATTCCTCATATTCTGTATATGAGCTCTCAGTATATCTTCCTGGCTCCACAGTCAAAGTATATCCAGAATCCAACCATGTCTCTGCCTCAGCCAAACTGGCTGCCTCACTGTTCCTCAAAAATGCTGAGTCTTTTCACTTACTGGTCCCTCTGCCTGAAACACTCTTTGCCCTAGATATCCACAGAAGCTCTTAGAGCTCTTAGATCTTTACTTAAATGCCACCTATCAGAGAAGTCCTCTCTGACCTTATTAAAAAGACATTGCCCATGGGGTGGAGGGGTTTAGCTCAGTGGCGCCAGTGCCTGCCTGGCAAGCACAAGGTCCTGAGTTCAATCCCCGTTCTGCAAAAAAAAAAAAAAAAAAGGCGTCTTCCTCTATCACTTTCTGGTCCCTTACACTTTTTAAGTCTGTTTGATATGCCATGTGAATATTTAAATTAAACATAGTGAATATTTAAATTAAAATTTTATTACAGTATTTATTGTAGTATTATTTATTACAGTATTATTGTAGTATTTTGAGGGGATCCTCAAAATACTCCCCCTTACTTTGAACATACTTATCTTCTCATTATTGTCACTTTCTGAAACAGTTCTAGAAGTCCTCTTTCTTGAGTCTTTTTAGTTGCACTGCTGTGGCTGCCTTGATGTCCTGAACTGATTAAAAACATTTACCTTTCACAGTCTTTTTGACTCTGGGGAAGAGCCACAAGTTCCATGGTGCTAGATCTGGTGAGTAAGGTGGATGAGGGCACACTATGATGTTTTTACAAGTATGCCTTTCTATTGGCATCTCAGTAGCAGCATTCACTGTATTTTTGATCATACCTCATAAAGATGTGAAAGAGGACTTCAGAACTGTTTCACAAAATGGCAGGAACAATGGGCTAAGTGTGTTTAAAGCAAGGGGAGTATTTTGAAGGGAATAGGAGTAATGTGTCTTTTACTGTAATAAAATTTTTCTCACTGTATTTTTAGCATACTGTATTTATTTGCTTGTTTGTATAAATGTGAATACAAATATATTTGGTCACTCATGCTCTGCAAACCATACTCTCCACCCTCCTGGGATGGAGGAGACTCTCCTCTTGGCCTCATGGGCCCCATTCCTGGGCTTGGCAGGCAGCTTGGTTCCTGGCCACTCACCAGTCGAGAGTTGTAGATAGGTGATTTGATGGGTGTGGCCACAGGACAGTTGATTCGCTTCTCCTTTTGGCGTCGGTTGCAGAACCAGACCCTCACTACCTCCTTCTCCATGGAGAGTTGCTCTGCAATCATGGAGATCTCTTCCGAGCTGGGTTTGGGGTTCTATAGAGATGAAGACATGGACTGAGGTCAGGAGGAGCTGATGTTCCAAAGAAGTAGGATTGAACAATATATGGATCAAAAGCTTTAGAGTCAAACCTAGCATGGAACACTGGATTTATCACTTACGTACTGTGTATCCTTAGGAAAAATCTTTTCTTTTGTAATTCAATTTTTATTAGTGCCTATTGACAAAATACTGGGCTTCGATGAATATATTTTGATCATATCCATCCCCTCATTCTTTCCTTATATCCCCTCTCTTTTACTCTCTCCCTCATTAATAATATCCTCTCTTCTACTTTCATGTCATTTTCATTTTTTAGATTTCAGATAGTGGGGAGAACATGTGATACTCATCTTCCTGACTCTGGGTTATTTTGCTTAACATCCAGTTTCATCCACTTTCCTGCAAATGACAAAATTTTGCTTTTTATGGCTGAATAATATTCCATCTATGTGTATATATACATTTTCTTTGTCTATTCATCTGTTGATGGGCACTTAGGATGGTTCCATATCTTGGCTACTGTGAATTGTGCCATAATAAATATAGGTTTGCAGATACAGGTATCCTTATAAAGTGCTGATTGTAATAACTTTGGGTATATACCAAGGAGTAGTATAGCTAGCTCAAATGGTGGCTCTATTTTTAGTTTCGTTTTTTGTTTTTTTTGATACCGGGCGTCGAACTCGGGTCCTTGTGCTTGCGCAGCAGGAAATGAAACCACTGAGCTAAATCCCTGGCCCTATTTTCAGTTTTTTGAGAAACTTCTATACTGATTTCCATGGCCACTGTGTTAATTTACATTCCTGCCAGCAGTATAGAAGTATTCCTTTCTCCCCACATCCTTGATAATACTTTCATTTTTCTTTTTGGTGATGACCATTCTGACTAGGGTAAAGTGGACTTTCAGTGGAGTTTTGATCTGCATTTTCCCAATGGCAAAATATATTGAACATTTTTTCATATGCTTCCTGGCCACTTGTTCTTCTTTTGAGAAATGTCTGTTTAATTCATTTGCCCAAGTATTGATTAGGCTTTTTGCTTTTTTTTGGTGTAAGTTTTTGGAATTATTTATATATTCTAAACATTAATGCTTTTGGAATAGTAACTGGCAAAGATTTTCTCCCATTCTGTAGGCTTTTTCTTCATTCTGTTACTTATTTCCACTGCTGTGCAGCAACTTTTTAATTTGAGGTAATCCTATTTGTTGATTTTCGCTATTATTTCTTGTGCTATTAAAGTCCTATTCAGAAAGTCTTTGGCTTTGTTTGTGGCTTCAGATGTTTCTCCTATGTTTCCTTCTAGTAGTTTTAAAATAGTAGGTCTTATACCTAGGTCTTTGATCTACAGTAAATTTGATTTTTGTACAGTGTGAAAGATAGGGTTCTAGTTTCAAACTTCTACATATAGATATTCATTTTTCCTAGCACCATTTGTTAAAAAGACTATCTTCAACATGTTTTGGGCTTCGTTGTCAAGAATAAGACGGCTGTAGCTCTTATGGATCCTGGCTGCTACAAAGCAAGCTGTTTCCTCTGCCACAGGCCCCTGCATGACATTCTGTCTCACTTCAGACCCAGAGCACCAAGGCCAAGCAACCACAGACTGCAACTGCGAGGCAAAATACACCCTTTCTCTTTAAAACAACAACAACAACAACAACAATAAGATGGCTGTAGTTGTGTGTGTTTGTTTCTATGTCCTCTATGATATCCTGTTGGTCTGTGTCTACTTTTGTGCCATTACCATGCTGTTTTGTTATTCTGGCTTTGTAGTAAAATTTGAAATCAGGTGTTATGGATTCCTCCAGCCTTGCTCTTTTTGCTTAAGATTGCTTTGACTATTCTGAATCTTTTGTGTTTTTATATGAATTTTAGGATTATTTTCCTATTCTGTGAATGACGTCATTGGTATTTTTTTTTTTTGGTTCCAGGGATCAACTCGGGTCCTTGCACTTGCGCAGCAGGCAGCGAAACCACTGAGCTAAATCCCCGGCCTGTCATTGGTATTTTGATAGTGACTGCATTGACTCAGTAGACCACTTGTGGTAATGTAGCCATTAAAACTTAATTAATTAATTAATTAATTTTGGTACCAGGGATCAAACTCAGGACCTTGAGCTTGCCAGGCAGGCAAGACACTACTGAGCTACATTCCCAGCCCCACGTGGCCATTTTAATAATAAGTTTGTGAGATCTTTCCATTTTTTAATGTCCACTTCAATTTCTTTCTTCAGTGGTCTCTAATTTTTACTGTAGAAGTCTTTCGTCTATTGTTTAGGTTAATTTCTAGGTATTTTTTGAAGCTGTTATGAATGGAATTGTTTCCCTGATTTCTTTTCAGTTGGTTCATTTTTGGGGTATAGAAAAGCTATTGAGCTTTTAAGGTTCATTTTTTATTCTGTCTTTTTTGTCTACGGTACTGGAGATTTAACCCAGGGCCTCAATATGCTAAGCAAGTGCTCTACCACTGAGCTATATAACCAGTTCTTATATTTATATTCATATTCATATTTATAACTCATATTTATAATTATAACACTAAGTTGCCCAGGCAGATCTTGAACTTTCAGTCTTCCTATCTTAGCCTCCCAAGTAGCTAGAATTACAGATGTGTGCCACTGCTGATTTTAATTCCTTCAGGTATATACCTCTCATCTACAAAATGAGAATGATAGTGCCTACCATGCAGGATTATGGTGAGGATTAATTGAGAAAATGTGTGCAAACTACCGAGCACAAGGCTGGCACGGGGTAGAGGTACCATAAAGGTGCATCTCTCCTTACACTCCTTCCCTCAGCAGCAGTTAGGAAGAGAGTGTCCATGGATGAGTTACGAGGGGCAGGAAAAAAAATCCCAGAAATACATGCTCCCATATCCTTTTCCCTTGTCATCTCTTCCTAGAAAACGCGGAAGCTAAAACTCTCAGATTTGTTAAATCTGCAGGATAGCAATATTGTACATAATGTGAGAGCACCACACCTTTGCTGGGACCCCTCACAACCCAGTCTGTGGTTTGAGCCCATTTCTCTACACTCCTGCACCCTCTCTTAGCCATGCTGCACTGAAAAACCTAAAAAGAAGGACAAGTCAGCTTTTGTCATCCTGCCAGAAGAACACAGCCATCAAGTCCTTATGGAGATGTATGGGGGATCAGCTGAAAGGGTGGCAGCCCTGGGAGCCAAGTCCAGCAAGGCTGGACTAGGCCCCGGGCCCTGGAGACATGCAGTGCCAAGTAGGCCCTGAAGGCTGGGACCTGAGGGATTCTGACTAGAAGTTCTTCAGCTCTCATCTATTTTTCCCTCTTCTCTACCCTAGCTCCCATGGGGCTCACAGTTTCTACACACTGCCTCAAGAATATGCTTTTGCCACAAGTTCAAAATCATATGGAATATGATCACAAGTATTTAAATGTGCATAGAAAAAAAGGAATAGAAGAAAGAACATTCAGATGGGTTTGAAATGCTTTTTTTCTTGGTATTTCCCTCCCTGTATTTTCTAAGTTGTTTAGAATGAGCATTTATTACTTTTATTTATTTTTTCAGTATGGAGGGATTGAACCTAGGGAGCACTGAGCTATATCTCAAGACCTTTTATTTGTTTGTTTGGTTTTGGCTTTGGTTTTTGAGACAGGATTTTGTAAGTTACTCAGCTTGGCCTAGAACTTGGGATTCTCCTTCCCTAGACTCCTGAGTAACGGGGATTATACCACCACAATGGGCTAATTACATTTTAAATTTGGAATACACAAAATCTACCTCAAAGAAGATAGGGACTTATATACAATGCCCTGTATTTGTTCCCTTTACTTCAGCTGGATATAGAAATACACTGTCTTCTGGAACCCCATATTCCAGTCTTTAAATCTCCTAGTGAGAGGGACAACAGGCCCCAAATAAACATCCAAGCTCAATGAGGGGAAGCTTCTGGAACCCTAGATGAAAGGCAGCCTCCCTCTCAAATCCACCAGGAGAGGGAGGGTGACTTGGCCTCTGACCATTTTCCAGCAGGTGCCTGGTCTCTTAGCTGTATGGTGCCTGCTTGCCAAGCTGGCCTACCCACTTCCACCCAAGGAACCTGCTCACATCTTGAAATCTCTTCTCCAGAGTCAGGCGGATATTGGTCTCAATGCTGGTCCGTTTCTTTCTCTTCCTGCCAAACACTTCATTGAGGGTAGGGTAAGAGCTAGGTGCACTCACGGAAGGGTCTGATGGAGACGACTCTGGAGGGGGTTGAAAGAGCAAAAGGAGCTCAGAGGAGGGAGACGGGTGGCTGGGTTAGGCCCTGCTATAACAGACTCGAGGTCCAACAGCCCTTCCCGGTGGGTTCTATGGTGGAATTTTCAGGACCAGCCCCCTCCCCCAGCAGGGGACCCCAAACAGACCGAGACTCCTGCTTCTCCTCGTTGCTCAGGGCAAAGGTCCTCCATGCCTCCCACCGCAGAGTCTCCAGTGTTTGTGGTCATGGTTCAGGGAGGCCCAGGCATCGGCGGCATGTGTGGGTGTGAGTGGGCACAGGCAGGGCTCCTACAAGTAACACTCACCAGTCTGTCTTGTATAGATATGCCTGGATGTGAATACCGAGTAGAGTGGAAAATAGCCTTCTGAGCCAAAAGCACTGGCGCTTGGTGGCAGAATGTTGATGCTGAAGCCCTTTGTTCATCAGTGCAAGTGTTGGAGCTAAGGTGTAGGGTGGACAGGAGGCATGTGCCTTTGGAAGGGGTCAGGTGTTTGGGTGGGTGGGGGGTGATCCCAATAGAAAAGATCTGCAAGGCCCTTTCCCAAAGATCTTAGGACCCTCTGATCATTTCTTTTACTTTAGTAGTTCGATCAATATTGTCTCAGGGACAGCCTGTTGAGGGAGGCGGAGGAACGTCTTTGTTGTTTCACATGCTTTTGCATGGAGGGACTTCCACGAGGGTCACACTGCTAGCTGCCATCCTTCCCTTGCTGCCCGTTCCACAGTAACCAGTAATCCACACATATCCACCAAACAGAACCCAGGCCTGGATTCTGTTTCCTTCTCTCTCCACCTAGTCCAAGGGCTCTCAAGCAGGAGCCACGCTCTTCACCATCACCATTCCTCCTGGGGACACTTGGCAATGTCTGGAGACATGTTGGGAAGTCTCAACTTGGGAGCCAGTGTTACTGGTAAATAGTAGGTAGAGACCAGGGATGCTGGTAACTATCTTTCAATGGCCACCCTCCTCCCAAAGATTTATCTGGCCCTAAATTTCCATAATGCAGACTGAGAAACCCTGCTTACGCCCATCTCTGATGCCAAACTCTTTCAGTCAACATTCCAAACACCATAGTTTATATATACCCTTGATCCCCTGGAAAGACTGGATCCTGACTGAATCCTCCTGCAAACCCCACTCCTGGTGTAAGACTTTCCCAGTTCATCTAGACCACAGTCACTGGCTGGGCACGGAAACCTGCTCCAGAACTAGGCAGGTAAAGACCCTGTGCTGTGCTTGTGACTGTCCATCCAGGGCCCACTGCCCTATCTCCTTGTCCTAGGCCTACTCCAGATAGCAATCTTGTACATGTATGTGCTCTGCAGATCCAAGCTTTGTCTCTAGGGAGTTGTCTAGACTAAGGAGGTCTGGGGTGGAGAATGGAATGGAATGGGAAAAAGTCTTCAGGGTCACAGATCTAAAACCATGTCCTCCAAAGGACTTTCTTTCTAAGTAATAACCATGATATTTTCAGGTCTACTTGCCTATATTCCATGTTTTATTTCTCAATTCTTTCTAAGCTTAGGAGAAGAAATGGGTGCTATGTCATGACCCTCTAAAGCCCAAATACAGACAAATCATTAGAACAATCCCTACAGAATCCTTGGGCCCATTCCTGCTGATTCCCCAGAGGTCTACCTGCGTCATTCAGCCACTTCTCCAGCAGTGGCTTGAGCTTGCACATGTTCTTAAAGCTCAGGTTGAGGGCCTCGAACCGTGAGATGGTGGTCTGGCTGAAGTCATTGCCATACAGCTTTCCCATTGCCAACCCTACATCTCCCTGTGCAAGAGATGGAGATTGAGGATAATGAGAGGCAGGCTTGTCCTCTTTGCCCACATCTACCACCACTCTGGTTCATAGCATACATCCAACTAGAACCTGAGGTACCCACTTTAGCTCCTTTCCAAGTCTTTTCCCTCTAGGATGGAGAATTGGTTTATTTCTCTTCCTAGACTCTGAGTAGGCTGTGCCTTGCCTGGCTTTCATTCCTCTCCCCTCCACCAGCCATGTCCTCAGTTTCCCTTCTACTGGCAGCTGTGCCCTGTTTTCGGGGAACTCAGGGACATGATGGGCCTTCAAACACGTTGAGCCTTGGGCTGCTCTTACACACGCACTCAATTTCTTTCATTATCCTCTCCCTAAACCAAACCTGTGTGAAGCCCAGCTTGATACGTCTCTGCTTGAAGGTCTTGGCAAACTTCTCCAGCTCCTCCAAGTCACTGGGCTCATCAGTCCCTCCAGAACTAGGTAGATGCTTGGGTGCTGGGAGGTGCTGTGATGCTTCTAGGTGAGGTTCTAAAGAGGATCCTGGCAGCCCAGGACGTCCAACTGCCTGATAAGGGAACACATACCAAGCAGATCCACAATGATTCAACAAACTAAGCAGCATTCTTTGGTGTTTGTCACTAATAGTCCACTTAGAGGATGGCAAATCTTTGGGTACATTTAGTCCTATTTTTGAAATGGTGTGGAGGTAGAAATTAGAGTTTCTGTGAAGATATAGTAAATATCTGGGACACTGGGTTGAAACAGAAGGAGTATCGGGTAAGGAGGTAGCCTTTCTGGGTGTTAGTCTGTGACTCACTATTTGACTCTGAGCAGGTTACTTCCTCCTTTCAGTTTTCCCACCATAAAAGGAGTGAGCAGCATTGTTTACAGAGATTCCACAAACAAATCTCAGAATGGGACAAGGAAAAGGTTTGTTTGCCTTGCCTTTTCTTTTCCACAAAGCAAAGTAACTGAGATATTGACATGTACCAACTGAAGACAACAGAGAACAATGGAGAACTCATGATATTCACAGAACTTTCATACAATCTCAAACTCCTGTGAGTGCCATTTTACTTTTTATACCATCGGGTTTTTTTTGTGACGGTTGATTTTAATCAAAGGCATTTTAATCACTGCTATCTAAATGCACCTTAATCTCATCTGTGATTGTCAGGACATATTCTTTAGCCTATTCTCCTAGGAAAATGTGTCCTTAAAGCAAGAACTGTGCCTATTTGGTGCCCGGAATAGATCCAGGCTTAAAACATTTATTATTCCACAAAGATGGAGTATGATCCAGGCCTAGGGCTTCAGGCACTGTGTCCGTCTCAGAGGCTACTGCCCATGTAGATAACTTGGGCTAAATACATCTTCTCCTCCCCAGTTTTCTCTTTTCCTAAACTGAGTTAGCTCCTTCTCCCATGAAAATATTCAAGTTTACCATTCAGGTAGGCATCTCATGATGAAGAGAGTGAAAGAACCAGAGATAAGCACTTTCCCCCCTGAAGAGTCTATTAGAACAGAATGGTTTGAAACTATCACAGAGTGGGTCCTGATTTACAGGGAGAGGGTGTGTGGGGAGGTGGTGGCATAGACCAGACCATTAGGACTAAGTCTCAGTCTTCTTTGAATCTTCCTTTCTATTAATTCATTTGTTCTTTCATTTGTCAAATACTAAGTTATCTGCAAGACTTTTTCCCTCTATTCTTCATACCTGATCATTGCCAAATTCTATTGATTAAACTTCTCAAAACATCATCTTGTTCATTCCCTCCACTCTTATTGACCTGACTCTAAGCCAGCCTCTTTATATCCCTCCCTAGGATTTTTTTTTTTTTTTTGGTACCAGGGATCGAACTCAGGTCCTTGCACTTGTACAGCAGGTGGCAAAACTACTGAACTAAATACCTGGCCCCTCTCCCTAGGATTTTTTGAGACAGTGTCCCAAGGCTGTTCCAGGCTGGCTCTGAACTCCTGGGCTCAAGGGATCCCCTTCCCTCAAATCTCCTGAGCAGCTGAGACTACAGGTGTGTGCCACTGTGTCCTGCTAGGATGATCCTAATAATCTTCTAAATGGTCTGTCTTCTTACCAGTCTCTTTATGCTCAGATATTAGAAGATGTGAGAGTTGATCCAGAATATTCTGTAGGACCTCTTCCAGATTGGGTCTCCCACTATCAGATTCTGGGGTGAGTGTACAGAAGTGCAACTTGACTCAGGTAGCCCTGGTTCTTTACACCACTAGGTGGCGCGTCCCCTTTTCAGTCGTCTTCAGTGGACTCTATGCCCCTTGAAAACCAGGGCCTTTACTGAGCCCAAGGAATCTTAGCACAGAAGTACATTACTGGTCTCTGCAGTCATTTCCATTGAGGGCCAAGTCAAGAAGCTATGAGGGTTATTAACTTCACGAGGGCACCAGACAAAAAGAGGAGTGGCAGCCAAAATGCAGCTTATGCTGTTGTAGGCAAGCTGCAGTACCCTGGCATGAGGCTGCAGTTGGCCAGGGTAAGAGGGGTCCTTGTCTTTAAAAATTGGCAAATAGGTGGTAATGTGGAACCATGGAAGCTCTTCAAATGGTTCTTCTCCTGGCCCTCAGTCAGCCTGCCTCAGACACATGCCCACTGTTGGACGGTTTGGAATAGGGGCCCTGCTGTGGGAGACAAAGTGGTCACCATCCATCCTGGTGAGTTGGATGAGCCTTAGTTCTTTGGGGTGGAGCTGCTGCAGGCTGGCCTGGGAGTTGGAATCTCTGATATTGATACATATATATATATATATATATATATATATATACACAAAATATATTTTTGGTGTGGTACTGGAGATTGAACCCAGGGCCTTTGCACTGAGCTACATCCCCAGCCCATTAAAAAAAAATTTTTTTTTTGTATTATGAAGCAAGGTCTCACTAAGTAGCCCAGGTTTGGCTCAAATTTGTGACCCACCTGCCTCAGCTTCACAGAAGGCTGGGATTACAGGTGTGCATCACCACACTTTGCTTTTTAGAAGTCATCTTAATCTTTTTGGGGGCAGTTTTGGGGATTGAACTCAAGGCCTTCCCTCTGAGCTACATCTCCAGCCCTTTTATTTTTTATTCTGAGACAGGGTCTCACTAAGTCACTGAATTGTCCAAGCTAGTCTCAAACTTGTAATCCTTCTGCCTTACCCTTTGGGAATGCTGGGATTATCAGTGTGTACCACAATGCCTGGCTTTGGTTCTCATTCATGGCCCGCTAATGATATTGGATAAACTCTCTCTCCTGGCTGTAGTTTGGATTTCCTCTGTGCCATGAGACAGTTTCTGGTTGATCTCTCTTCCCAGAAGGATAAGTGCCCTGCTAAAGGGGTGGGAAAACCCCAGTGAGTTGCACTCTGTCAGAGCTGAGACATTTCCAGAGAAACCTGAGGAATGTGAGTATTTACCTGGGATGCCAGGCCAGGCCCTGTCTGTGGGAGGAGAAGGCTGCTTTGTTGCTGTGGAAAGGGGAGGAGATTCGGCTGCAGACCTGGGTGAAAGGGGAGGGCAAAGGAAAAAACAAATAAAATCTAGGCCACGGGAAAGACAAGCTTGCCATTGGAACCATGAGAACTGTCCCCACCCTCCACTACCAAATCAGGTCCCACAACCCACCTCAAGCCCTATGGAGAGGCCCCCATAGGCATAGCCAGTCATTGCCACACACAGGTGGAGGGGAACCAGACCAGGCACAGGGATAAACAGAAGTATAAACAATCCCCAAACCAGTCTTTCTGCTTGCATGCTTGCCTGGAGAGGCGAAAAGGCTAAGGAAGGTCAAGGTAATCTAGCTGGGATCTGCCTGGCAGGGCTGAAGAACCCAGAGGGGAGAGGAGTGGAAGGGAAGTGGGGGCAGCTACCAAGAACAAGAAGGAGAATGCTGTAGGGGCTAAGGATTTCAATGCTTCTGGCAGGAAAGCAGCTGGAAGGGGCACAAAAGCCCATTGGAATCTGCAAAATGTTGAAGCAAGCAGATGGTGCCATAAGGCTCTGAAGGGCATGGGGATACTGGTCAGAGGTCCTGGTGACCAGAACACTGTACACATGGAAGGAATGGCGGAGAGTCTGGGAACTGCCTTGGGCAGAATGGAGCGCACCTCCTTGAAATACAGCCTGGGGACCTCTCCTTCTTCCCAATCCAGGAAAATTGCCCGTGAAGGGCTCTGCTTGGTCAGTGGCCATGACAGGTGTCTCCCTTCTTGGGAGGCCAAGCCAAGACCTTTTCCTCTCACAGCAGGAGGCCATCAAACTACCAAAGCAGGTCACCTCAGTCACCCAGCACACAGAAGCAATTTGGGGTCATTAAGCACTTTAGGGTCCCTAAGTGTCATTCATTAATGCACACGTCTGCAGATGTTGACCTTTTTAGACTTCAGTCTCAAAAAGTCAGGACATACTTGCTCCTTAGTAAAATAAATAGGTAAGAAACCTCTTATAAAGGGCCCTGGTGGGCCGGGGATTTAGCTCAGTGGCACCACGCTTGCTTTGCAAGTGCAAGGTCCTGAGTTTGATCCCTGGACTTGGAATCTGGAGGCCTGAGTACTGGTAGCAATCCTAATATTTACATTGAATTCTGAAATGTATTATACCTTTTCAAATATATCAATATTTTATGATGCATGATTTTACTGCTATCCCTTTTTTTTTAGATTTTGCCAAATTCCTCTATTTTTTTCAATTTTTATTAGTGCATGTTTGTATTACATAAGGATTATACTCCTTGTTGGGAGTTGGTACATGTATGTAACACATCTTAATTTTTTAAAAATTCTATTCCCTCCCTCTCCCTCCTCCATCTCTTTATCCCATTCTTATTTGAACAAGATCTGTCTCCCTACTTCCTATTACCTATCTTTTGTTCTGCTCTTTATTTATATTTTGGGCTTCTCATATACAAGAAACTATGCAGTATTTGAGCTGTAGTCTGATTTATTTCACTTAACATTATGGCTATGGAGGAGGAAATGGAAGCTCAGTGAGTTTCTTGAGGACATACAGCTAATAAGTGATTTTTAAAAAAAAAAATGAGTTTCTTTTCTCTCCAAATCAAAATTTTTTTTCATCCTACATCTTATACCAAGCACATCTGTTATGTAAGCATTTTTTAGATCACTGCAGTTTTTTGAAAATAAATTGAATTAACTGTTACATTCTCTTTCCTATTTCAGAAGTATGATGCATATTGTTTGGCTGAAATAAACACTTAAGGATTCAAATATGTTCCCAGTCATTCTAATAATATGCTGAGGTGCCCCGGAAATTAAGGGTGTATTTTGGGTAGGTGCCATGGCAGAAGACAGAGGTACATTTTGTTTGGATGTTTGTTTGCTGGATTTCCAAAGCCTCTACTTGGGTTCTGTATAATTGACGAGAGTTTATACTCGATCCATCATTTTGTTATGAATAGTTTAATCTGTTTGCTCTTGGCCAAGGACAAAGTTCCCTGGGAGTAACTTCTCTGCCAGACAACTTGAAAACCCCTCCTGCAGCCTGTGGGAGGCACTGCGGCTCTACTCAAATATAAGCATAGCCTGACTTCTGGGAAGCACAATGAATCCAGAATTGGGACTTGTTTACTTCTCTTTCCTTGTCCCTTCCCCCAGCCCTTAAGCCCCTTCAGCCTCACCTCTTTAGGACTTTTAGGAGAGGAGGCAGCCCCAGTAGGAGCCTAGGCAAGGCATTAATCCTGGAGGGGCACTGTCAGGAGTCCTTCCTCAGCCCTAGGTGACCAACTAGTCTTAATAGCAGAGGGCCGGGGATTTAGCTCAGTGGTTTTGCCGCCTGCTGCGCAAGTGCAAGGACCCAAGTTCAATCCCCAGTACAAAAAAATATATGCATATATACATACGTGCATATACATATATATATATATATACACACGTATATATATCTATATATAATAGCAGAGGGGCCAGCGACTCCCTGTGGTCCACACGTAGCCAACAGTGACAGCTGCACTTGACTCAGTGTGAAAACCCTTGGGTTCTTACCTTGTTGCCCAGGCTGGGTCTGAGAAAGCAGGAACTGGGACACTGACTGCAAGTGACCGGGGACCAGCACAAGCTGCTGGAGCGGATGGAGAGAAGCCATGTCCTACACATGGGCAGACACACATATGTCAGAGAACTTATAGAGTAGGGACCCCTGCTCCCTCAGCCCATCCAGCCTGTAACACTCTAGGCTCTGGAAGTTTGCAGGCAGTGACCTTGGCTCATGTTTCTGTGTGCCCTCAGAGTGTGGGACATAGTAGCTGCTCCATTAATGCTGTTATTATAGCTTCTGTACTCAGCCAGGCAGTCCTTGCAATATCTATTACTCGACTCTGGCCTCATGATTTAATTTTTCTAGTGTCAGTCCCATCCCATCTTCCAACTGTAAATGCCCTGACCACTGACAATGGGAATTACCCATGTCTCAAATATTTATCCTAGAAACAGCTGGCAATCCCAATTGTCCTTTTTAATTCTTCTTCTTAATCTCTTGTCACTTGATTATTCTAAAAGCCATGTTTAGGTCACTGTGCCTCAATCTTTCTAAAGGGTATTGGAGTAGGAGTTGGGAGATGGGTCAAATAATATTAATAATATTATTTATTAATTAATAATATTAATTATTCTTAATAAATTCAGTTTGGTTAAAGAAAAAGTCCGGGTTTGTTTCACAAGCTCAGGTCTTGGAAATAGTGATTCTGACATTTGAGGTCCTGGGAATCCTCTTTGATCCAGACACCCAGGGTCCCAAGCCTCATGGCTGAGCATAGGCCTATATGAATGGTGACTTGATAAGCTTTGCCGAATGAAAAGGGTGGAGGAATGGCTACATATTCTGTTCTCAAGCATTGCTGGAAGAGAGGTCTTCTCTCTTCCCAAGGTGACCCACACTAAGGAGAGGTGGGCCACAGGAATATATACTGAGACATTTCCTGTTGTTACTGTCTCAGCGTGTGTCTTCCCTTCTCACAGCAGCAGTCCATTCCAGTTTGGCTTTGACATACAATCTTGGAGGAGGCAGAGCAGGCCCACTAGGGACAGAAATCTTCTGTAATTGTAGGAGTTGTTGTTATCACAGAATGCCCTGAAAGTGGTTCAGCAGACAACAGCAGCATAGCTGCTAGGTCCTTCACTTGGCAAGACTAGGTCCTTTTTGTTTCACAGAGTAAGAGAACTGCCTCTTTCTATTCCTGACTAGGCTTCATTTTCACAAGGACTATTTCAGAATCCCACTCCCATTCAGGCCTCCTAGACCTTTGTCCCATTGTCTATAAGGAATTCTTTTTCTTTCTTCTTTTGTCTTTTTCTTCCAGTACTGGGAATTGAACCCAGGGCCTTACACATGCTAGGCAAGCTCTCTACCACTGAGCTACACCCTCAAACCTAGGGGGTTCTATAGTTTTATATGGATTCTCAGGTGCCAGGCATGGAGATCTAGTAGTTTGCAGAGGGAATGGCTCTGCAAACTCACTGGCTCACTGAGAATTTCAGGGTTCTCTGCCATGGACTGACACTTACTCCAGACATTTGGTTTCCGGACATCATGGCAGGTCCTTGGCTCAGGTGGCATGGCCGATGGGATAGGGTCTGCTGCAAGGAGTCACCGAGGTCCTCTGTTTTTATCTGCAAGTGAAGGTAGGTGGAGAGTGTCAGTTCTGGGCCTCTCTGGGAAGATGGAAACAGAAATGCAGAGACCAAGGCAGATGAGTAACAGCCCAAGGAGGAAAGAGCTAGCCCATTGCCCATGGGCTGCAGCATGATTTCCCCATCAGGAGAAATTTCCCCAGCCAGAGCCACTGGTCAGGGACATATGTGTACCAGCTAGACTCTCGAGTACCAATCTGTACGACAGGGAATCTAATGCAGTTAATGCTTTTACTCATTGAAAAGAGAAAAATCAGGATATTCTAGTGAGTTTTAAAAATAAAGCTTAGGGCCAGGGATCTAGCTCAGTGGTTTCGCTGCCTGCCTCGCAAGCGGAAGGACCCGAGTTCTATCCCCGGTACCAAAAAAAAGAAAGTAAAAATAAAGCTTAATGAATCAAATTCTGGTAAATTCTAAGATGATATCCTTTTTTTTTTTTTTGGTACCGGGGATCGAACTTGGGTCCTTCCGCTTGTGAGGCAGGCAGCGAAACCACTGAGGTAAATCCCCGGCCCAATCCTTTTTTTTATTAAGTGGAAAGGATGTTAGAATTTCTTTTATGAAATGATGGTAATCCTAAATGGTATTTTTTAAAGTCCCCATCTAAAAGAGTAAGAAATTAGCAATCTTGTATTGATCTACCCCAAAATCTGGTTTTTATTTTCCTGCATGGACTTCTATCCATGAAACCCCAAAGCCCGTGAACCACTGATCTGGAGGATTCTTCTTCCTCTATCACCCCTTGTTCTCTACCCTCTCTGTGCTAAGCTGCTTCTTCAGTGGCCCTCTTAGCCTGTGTGGATTTGGGGACAATATCTGCTTGTCTCCCTATAGGCAGGGACATGTCTCCCTCATAGTCACTGCTGCAGTTGCAGCCCAAGGGGCGTATGGTGATTTCCAATTCTCTCTAGTCTCTGCCACCCTTCAATGATACATGAACCACCCACTCATGGGCTTTCCAGGTGTGCTTGGGCAGGGCAGGAAGTACTACTGTGCTCATTCTCCCCACCCCAGGACAAATGCCTTTTGCAGCTTTTCAGGAAGCTCCACTGGGAGGGGAGCCAAGTGACTGATTCTTATACTATGGTAAGGGGTACAGAATGTAGACCACACATTATGAGAGACAGGGGAGAGACCTCCTGAAAAGGACCTTCCTACGTGGAAATTCTTGGCAATAGAGATTCTGGCTTAAACTATTTTCTTGGTCTACACTGAGGATATCATTGACATTTGTGACCCTTTCCTGTTGGTATTCATTTCATTCAATTAAAAGTTGAGACTAGCAGATGTATTTGTGCTTAATCCCTATAGAAAATGGTGCTTTGGATCAGTACAGAAAGGATTCCCTTTGGTTTGACAGGAAGATCCTACTGAATAACACTGGTGACTTACTGTAGGGGGAGCTACTTATGATGCCTTGCACATAGTGGGAACCTGAGGAATGTCAACTGAATAAAAGACAAACAAAATCCACCTCTGTAGAACCTCGGATGAGGTACAGTGAGGAAAACACTGGACAGGGCATCGCTGAACCAGTCCTAACTCTGACTCTTTAACTTACTATGTATTCTAAAGCAATCTCTCAGCCTCTACGAGACTTGGTTTCTCCATCTGTTGTAGGATCTACATGGCTTTTCTCCCTTTCAATCTTAACACAGAATGACCAATGTGAATCCCTTGTGCATTTGATGGATGTATCTGGTCCAGGGTGCTGTAGTGCCCTTAGAGGAGCTCTAACAGAACACCGAAGCTCTGGGTGAGCAGAAATTGGTAAGAAGTGGCTCTTTCAGGAATGGGCTTTACCAATCATTCTGCTCACTTAAGGAGACCATCCTGGAGCCCTGGAAGCAAAGAGGAAGAAGGAAGAGAGGTGTCAACAACATTATGAGGACAGAAAGTGACTTTTCAAATTTTTTTTCTTTGGTACCAGGGATCAAACTCGGGACCTTGTGCTTGCGAGGCAGGCAGCGGAACCACTGAGCTAAATCCCCAGCCCAGAGAGTGACTTTTAGAAAGCTCAAAACACATGGCACCTGGGTGGTCTCCAGAGAGCCTCTTTTCCCAGCCCACACCCCTCCAACTCTGCCCGTCATGCTTGGGGCCTCTGAGAAACACTGCTGTCCAACTTCTGCACCCAGAAATTAGTTTCCATGTCCTAGATTCTGTGGAAATATTTGTTAGCAGGATTTAAAAACTAGAAATAGATGAACTTATTTTGAGAGCACCAGCTCCACCACAACAGCTTCAAGGTTTGCTCTGAAGGAAAACTTTACGTGGGCAGAGTCCTTTTGGTCAGCTTCCCATTGCCACTCCTCCCCTCTCTGTCCCTCTCCGGGCCTAGGGCATGCTCATCCCAGAGGGGGCTTGGGGAGGCAGGTAGAGGAAGGGGGAGAGGGAGACACGGAAACCTGGAGGTGAAATACTGCCGGTGGAACCACCTAGGACTGCCTGGCACAGCTCCAGCTCAGAGGCAAGTGGCAGGTTCCTTCCAGACTCATTATTCGCAATGAAGAGATAAGGAGGCACAGCTATGACAGAGTTTGAAAACATTTGCTTTGCCTCCAACCTGGGTGCTATCTGTTAGAATCAGTGCCAGGTCTTCCTGCAACACTTAATTTCAGAAACCAGCGCCATCATAAAAGAAAACTCACCCTTTCATCTGCTTCCTGGGTCAACTGCCCTCCAAACCCTTTTGGGAGACACTCTCAACCTCTCTATTCCGAAAACGAAATGCCTGATAGTAGAAAAGTCCTTTGGATGTAGTCTGGGGCTTTCTGACAACTCTGTGTATTACTCTTCTTTTTTTACATTTGGCTTCTCCAACCTATTGAGATAAATGAGAGTAACCTATTACTCTCATTTTTCCTAATTCCTTACCCCTGTGTTGAGGTGCTGACAGCAACCCAAGAAGAAGACAACCCTCAATAAACCAAATCAAAAAACAATCAGGAGAGCTCTTCTTGGATGACAAGTTCTGAAAACCTCAGTTTTGCCAGGCTGGTGTATACTCAGTGGTAGGGCACTTGCCTACCACATGTGAGGCCCTGAGTTCCATCTCCAGCATTACAAAATCAATCAATCAAATATAATCTCCACTTTGGTCAAGCTGGTGTCAGAAAGGGCAGAGGGGAGAAGAAAGGAGGAGGGATGACTCCTACTGACTCCAGCATTTTTCTTGGACACTCTCAGGGGCTGAGAAACTTAGAAATTAAGAAATAAAGTCCTCTCCAATTCAAAAAACTCCCTTTTCACAGCTGTTGAGTGGAAAAGGCTGGAACCTTTCCAGACAACTGGGTGTTGGCTGTGGGTCTGGAAGATGAGATAGAGACGTTTCTGTTGGATCCCATTGACTTTTAAGGTGAGAACCGCAGGCAAATTGGATGAAAACCCAATTTCTCCCATACCTGTGAAAACCCAACCAAACCCACAGCCTGCCTGGAATCATCCAGGGTCTCTTGGCAGTTCTCATGACAGCAGGGAATCTCTCCAGGCTCTAGTTGGGATGGCTAGTGCTTGGGGACAGGGGCCACTACAGTGCTCTGCCCTATGCCATGGAGCTCCAGTCCACCTATCAGACAAGGTTTCTGAGTTTAGGATCTTCTCCACCCACTGTGCTATGCAAAGGTATTACACTGAGTCTTGGGCAGTGACCAGGGAGGTAAAAATGTATCGTGAGTGATTATCTTTTCTATTCCAAGTGAACTCTCTGACTTCACTTTAGAAAGCAGTGGGAGTCTTTTTCTGGAAGGAGGGAGCCCCATCTGAGGAGGTGGAAGTCCTTTATACATTCTGCCCTGGGCTCTACCTCCCATTCCCAGAGGTGAGGACACAGATTCATCTTCCCATCTCATAGAAGCCCAGAGAGCTTCAGAGATGGGCATAAAGTTCTGCAGCAGGGCACTCACAAAATTCTGACAAGAGCACAGTCCCCTGGCCTTCCCTTGGTGCTCTCTCCCCCAGACAATACCACAAATGTCCCAGGTAGAGACAATAGACAGTAGAGAGAATACATCATAAGTGATGGATAAGGCAGTATTCCAGCCTAAGATGTATACTTGGGACTTGCTGCTGATCATCTGGGATTTTGTTATTGTTCTGTGGTGCTGGAGATCAAATCTAGAGCCTTGTGCATACTAAGCAAGTGCTCTACCACCAAGTTACACCCTCAGCCCATTTTTACAATTTGTTTTGAGACAGGGTCTCATTACATTGCCTAGGCTGGCCTTGAACTTGCAATCCTCCTGCCTCAGCCTTAGATTATAGTCATGTGCCACCATGCCCAGTCCTGATCATGTGTTTTGGGGTCTTGGAATGGAATGTGGTAGGGCTAGGGTACTTTTCCTTAGTCCCCTTCCTGGGGTATTTTCACATGACCCTTTCTGGTGGGGGGGGCAATCCAACACTAATGAATATATCACTAGTGATGAAAATGATCAAAGCTGTTGTCCTAGTTGCATAACTCGTTTGTGGAAAGTGTTTCATAAACATTTCACAAGAAGGAGCATTTCAAAGTGTGAACATCTCCCAACCTGCCTTCAATTACAGGCAGGAGTTTTTTTTCTTTTCCCTCCCCCCACCCCCTTCTACACTTCTCCCTAATAGTAAGGAAGAGTTTCAGTTTTGTAACTGATCTATAGAGAGCTGGCAAATGTGTTCCTCATGAAAACACTCTAAAAATATATTTCAAGTGGTGGAATGGGGCAGCCAGCTTACTCATCTCAGGTGAACAGGGCTGAGGGTACCCGATCAAAGTGAAAGTTGGCTGTGGTGTTTTTTTGCTTGTTTGTTTTGTTTTGTTTTGCAGTGCTAGAGATGGAACCCAGGGCCTTGCACATGCTGGGCAAGTGCTCTACCCCTGAGCCACACCCACTGTCCAGCTGTGTTTTCACTTGGGAGACTTTTCTGTCTCCAAGGCTCCTGACTACTCCCTACAAGCCCAAGGCTGCTGTCCCCTGGGTGCCCCCAGGAAGCCTGTAGGA